TTTCTTTTCCCGATCACCACTACAGTTGGTAAGGAATTTCAGCAGCTTTTGTTTTGGCGGTCTAGCTTTCTGTTTAGGTATGTGGTTGCTGCGTACTACTTCACATGTAATAACATACCTGCTGCAAAAAATTTTATAAGTAGGAGAATATATTTTTTATAAACTTATTCCTTGCAGTAATAAAGATTTTCAGACAAGTCAGCATTGATGAGAACAGCGTTTGGTGAAGCTTGGATTGCGTACGGCCACATTCTAGCTGCTGAGTCGGAGAACGAACAGGCCTTGAATTGCTATTATCGGGTTGGGTTGTGGAAACATTGGTACTGCATTTTATTTTCTTACAAGTTCTCATATTAGAGGCGCGCGAATCTTACCTTGGCATTACGAACCAAAGATGTACATAGGAATGCAATATTGCAGAGTCGGGGTGAGAATGGCGGAAGAATTCCTTCGTGAAGCTTCCTGCAAAGAGCTGTCTGATGACCCTGTCATAATCGCGGATGAGCGTTGATCTTACTACGTACGTACTGCAAGTTCCACCAGTGAGTGGCTATCTGTAGTTCTGTACTGTGTTCGCTAATCCAGTCTTATCAGAGTTTCATGCATGCCAATTTTGTTGGCAGCATTGTTTGAGTACTTTTTGAAGAGGCCGTAGCCTCATATTGTCGTCCCTGGTGTTGCTTTGCTTCTTTCCGAGGGAAAAAAAAAACGTATGGAAATGTATACTTTTCTTCTGCACTAATCAAAAACATTTTTTGAAACTACTAGTCATTAAATGTCTTCACGGAGTATCAGCATGCGCGCATATGCATATAATCTTCCCCATTTTGGATTACCACACGCAGTTGTGATCCTTGTCGATGCCTGTATTTTACAGCAGCTGAACAGTTCTTCAACAACGCTCTGCTCGCTGTCATTGGAACTGAATCTGAGGAAACTGAATTCATGGATTCGAGCGCCATTCTCAACGAGTGTGTTTCTGTGATATATTTTTCCGTATGCCATTTCCTTTTTTCTTTTTGTAATTTACGTTAGAAATTTAGGCAGATTGATCCATTCTGGCAACCTCTGATAGCAAGTTTGGACATGTATCTCGAAGACTCGGAAAGTACAAGGATTCTATAAATTTCATAGGTTTAGTCATATCGTTAAGTTCGAGTTTTGTCGTTGCTTTGATTGCTATGCGTTTGCAGATGAGAACTTGAAGTTGACTGGAGCAAATTTATCACATTTCATAGTTGGCCCCGGAGTGAGTAAAAGGTTGTTACTCTTGGATGATTCCTGTTAGTTTCGTTTCGTTCTTTTCGTAAGAGCCAAAAATTGTAACGTCCTAAGATGAACTTTTCCGAGCTGTCAGAAACAGCACGTGATTTGGAAGGAGTGAAGAGAAGGAAATTGTTTTGTAACGGATGAAATCCGGAGCTAAACCACCACCCACTTCTATTGCGTATATACAGGGGGGGGGCCAATAAAAAAAGACATTTTGTCTCCGCGCTCAGATGGATTTAATCACACTTTGCTCAATTCAAACCGAATGAGCCCAGCTTGGTATTGAAGAGCACATTTCATTCTATAAGAAAATCTTCATAGTGGCCACCTACGTGGGTGGCACCAGAAAAATTTGCCTCGTAAACATGGTGCGCTGGTCGAGCTCAATGGGGTCTTCGAAGGATCGTGTACCATAACGACCTCCCCTGGAAGCGGGTTCCAAAGGGGTTTGCATAGTGGGAGCTAAGGTCCCTAAGAATCTATCCAACGTTGAATCGATTCACGAAATTATGTGAGAGCTTCAGGCTGAAGCAGTTCTGGTAGGCCTCCTGGAGCTTGACGACGATGACAGATGACGTCATATTCTGAATACGGTGAGGGCAGTGGAGGAGGGCCTGCGTCTACTTATAGAGGGACATTTAGGGGATATTATGCTGAGAAACTTCCGTCAACGACGGCAATCTCTGCGAAGAAAAAATGGCCGAAGTGCGACATGGGCAAAATGTCTTTTTTTGGCCCCCCGTGTAGCAGGACCTCTGTGTGGAAGAGAAAAGCGACCAAAACCAATTAAAACATCGATGAAATAGAAGTAAGCATCATCAGAGAGGGAGTCGGAAGATGCTGGCAAAGAAAGGGGAAAGTGGAAAGCTTCAACCAGGACATTCTTAAGGAAATTGTTGAACCCTTTTGTGTTTCATCTCTTTGCATTAAGATCATAATCACCATTTTGATTTCAGTTCAAAAACAATTTCTTTGCAACAATGAACACCAAAACGCTGCAACTAACTCAAACTTTGTGTTCTATTTAATGAATGATTCATACTCTATACTCATTTACGCCATATTTGGAGCATTCTGTCACTGGGTGCCCGAGAAGCCTTTTTCCAACATCTCATTGGTAAAATTGGTCTAAATTTGATAGCATATCGGTCAACCATCGAACTCTGACAGTCAACGAATTGGAAACAACGCCACGCTTGGACCGCTCAAATGCAGGAGAATCAGGAAAGAGTCGATTAAGAACCTGTTCATCTTTCACCTGTTCTATTAATGGACCATAGAGTCCGAGATAGTTGCAGATTTGGTTATAGATCGAGACTTCCCGTATGCTGAAATTTTTGTAGAGCTATTAAAGTAGAGGAGAAAATGTATGAAATGAGATTTCAGAAGATATTTTCGTGGAAATATATCCGTATTACTGTACCATAACACCCAGTATTCCGCATTTTGGGCGGAAGTGGTGCAGTGACAAGTGGCGCGCTCACCACGCGAGCGGTCCGGGATCAAATCCTGGGTCGTGAGTCGCCCGGGCCAACCAAGCCTTCCATCCCTCCGGGGTCGGTTAATTGGTACCAGACTTGTCTGGGAGGATAAAAACACTGACTTGAACATCGGCTGGCCCCCGCAAGTCATTGTATAGGCCACATCGCATTCAAATGCCACTGCGAATGTACAAATGGAAGTAGAATGCGTGCCGCATCCCAAAACGGGATTGATCAACGGCAATGCTTTATCCTTTTATTCCATTTTAGGTAAAGCGACTGTTAATGGAATCGCTAAATCGCTCTGCATTCATGGAGTCGCATGCAATGTCTTAGCTTGTCTCGGGTGAAACGAATTATACGCCACTCGACGTAACTCTTGCTAAGTCACTTGCTCGAGGCTCCGATAGATGGGGTAAAGTGGCATGAAATTTGTTCAAATATTTTGTGAGTCAACAAGCACCAGCACCAGCAGTGCATCCGCTGATATTTCCGAGAGCTTCTTTCAGATGAGCGCATGCGTTTTACCATTAATATATCCTCGGTTCACCATTAAGTAGAATACGGCTTAGGTGTGGTCATCAAGGTTGCCAATATGTGGAATTTTTCCAGCCATCTGATGCCATGCCTTTTCATGCAGATCTTACTAACCTACTTCTAATAACTACGTCTGTCCATTATTTGATCTAATTGTCGTCTGGCCCTCGCTTGCAATGCTTATGGACTATGTGCCTAACTATTTGCTTTCTTCGTGATCTGCATTATCATTGTTGTTGTTTCCAGAGTTTCGGCCACTTTGCCATCTCGGTACAGCTCACGAGCCAACTCGGTCTTTTGTCGTGGATCACCAGAAATTTCGGTTTGTTTCATCTTCTTCATCTGAATATCAAATGGAACGTAATAATAACATTTCACCATAGAATTTTCTCCTCCGAACACGCACGTTTTGAATAAGACCGGCTTGAAGCGTTCCCTTACTCTAGGCAAGCTGCAATACCTAGCATAACATTCTCTCTAAAACCTCTTCAACAGAGAAACTAGCTCGCTGATAGTCACTTGACTTGATTGTCACTCATTAATATGACAATGAATTATGAGTTGTCTGTTCATTTCCTTTAAGCTGATTTGCCGAAAAAAAAATCTTACCAAACGGTAACAGGGATCTTTGCTTGTAGAAGGAACAAGTTTGTAGTTTCTCAGCAATTGCTCTGCTGCTAGAGAATGGCGGTCCTAAAAACATTACTTGGTAGACCATAACAAGAACTGCAACATTTTAAAAACAGCCAAACCTGTAAAAACGCTGCTATCAAACAGCGAGATGCAAAATCTCGATTCTCTAGTAGAATATATGTCCGACCATAAACCACCATCAATGCAGAGAACAGCTAAAAACTCAGAATGAATTCCGAAGCAAGGCATCATTGAAGCCCACTTGTCGATTTAGTAGCCTCACTTCAATCATGTTTCTTGAGCAGAACGTGTTCTAAAGATCCTCTGCATATACTTCCCCTACTCTGTTGGGGTGCCTCATAATTTTCGAAAGACTTGCAGCTCGGTTTGGAGTAGAAAGATATCTGTCGTGCGATCGCATGATCGATACGTACCTTCTTCACACACGAGATAAAAAGAAGCGCAAGGCAATCGCAATGCATGATCGCAGCCTAATTTGCGTTTGACTCCTCGAAACCAAATGAATGAAAGATAACCTTTAATGAAGTCATCATCTTATTCAACGCCGCAAGATCGCTTTCCGAAAGTTCCGCACTGAAAGAATCCAAGTAATCTTCCAGGCCACAGTGATAATCGGGATATCTCACAGGAAGTCCATCCGTCAACATCTGAATGACATGTTGAATAAAGCTCAAAGATAACCTCACATCGAACGAGCACATGAACGACAGACTACCAAAAGCATGCTAAAAAGCATCAATTAGAATCTTATCAGTAATTATCCATAAATCACCCTCGTTTGATGTGAGAACGCAGGGCCCGGCGCTGAAATCACCTCCAATAAATCACCAAACTCGCAACCGGTCGTGCAAGCAAAAAAAAAATAGATAAATAAATAAAATGTTGCAAATTGGTGAGGTCCGTTTCGATGACACCACAATCATTTTAAGCCCAAAAATCACCTTCGCATTTTTTGAAAAGGTGAACGGGAGTGTCCCGAAGAGAGATTAGGCACTCCAACCCCCGTGCCGTATACGCCATGTGTGTTTTTCGCGCTAAATGAATGTGGTTTTCGTGCCAGAAAGGGAGAATAATCCTTCAAATAGGCCTACAGCGAACTTGGTTAGGCTGGTGTCAGAGTCCGCGATCCTTTGCGCGATTTTCGCGATTTGCGCGACGGTCACCGAAATTACAAGTGCCCCATTCATATGCTGAGGTTCTCCCTGCTTGATGGTTATGGTTTAATGGAGACTGCTCATGATTCCACTTGTTTCATATCCAGTGTTTCAATTGTTCAAATGGGGCACTTGCAATTTTTGTGATTGGTTTGGTTTGATTCCTGAAAAAAATAGGAACGATTCAAGAGCATTTCAATGAACTAATAGACATTGAACATGAAACAAGTAGAACCACAAACATTCGTCTTCCAATCTTTACTGCCAAGCAGAATTCGCAGCAGGATTAAACAACACCTCGCAGTATTCATCGGGCACTTCCAACTCCTGTGATCCATCGCAGGTTTCGCGAAAATCGCGAAAATCGCGAAAAATCGCGAAAATCGCGAAAATCGCGCAAATCGCGAAAATCGCAAATCGCGAAAATCGCGCAAATCGCGCAAATCGCGACAATCGCGAAAATCGCGAAAATCGCGCAAATCGCGAAAATCGCGCAAATCGCGACAATCGCGAAAATCGCGCAAATCGCGAAAATCGCGAAATCGAATCGCGGACTCTGACACCGCATGGCCTACTGATTATGCGGCATCCGCGCAACAAAGGACCTTGCTCAGTGAATAAAACTGTGACCGAAAAAAGGTTTCACCAAATCCGCAAATAGAGTCGATGAACCTACCCAATTAATAATGCTCGTTCCTACAATATAATGGACTTGAGTGGAACAAAAATAGTCCCTATCGGTGTCAGAAAGAGCCTCTGATGCCGTGTTTTCAATATAATACCAGCCCTTGAGTACATTGCGAAGGAACCGCTCACAAGGATGGTACTCACCAAATTCCCTATGGGAAGCTGAACAATCACTGAATACATTCGAAGATGGAAAAGAGCATTCACATAGTAATATGCAAATACGATATGTTTCTTACCAGATTGACGATGAAAACAACCTGCGAAACAGTTTTATACTGATGACAATCGTGAGACCCTGAAATAAGTTGAATAAGGTTGTAGTGATTATCACTGCAACTTCGTTTAAGAGACGGTCACTAGACGTTATTCAAATTCAACATACTTTGATGTAGTTGGCGAAGTCGATCATACTGGTCGAAGTTTCGCATTTTTTAGCGTATGACCTATCTATCCAGTAGGTTGCCGTTTCGCAGTCGCCTTGCGACAAATACCTCCTGAACGATTAAGGTGAAATCAAAAAAGACCAGATAAAATTAATAATCAAAAAATAGTCAATAGAAATAAATTCGAACACCCTGATAAAAAAAAGCAGACATACGAAATCAAAACGTCGTGATCTCTTCATCTACAGTTTATAGCATTCGAAGTCCTCCTGCTGGCTGCAATGAATAGAAAGAAGCTTGATGCAAAGATGGCAGCAGAGCTTTATCCCACAATGATTGTAAAATAGATGTAAGAGCAGCAAAGAAGCTTCATTTTGCTAATAACAAGATTGATCAGTTATCAGCAATGTCGTTTCGGAAAAGAGAACAGACACTGCCGGACCTTAAAGCCTGCTGAATAAGTACTGAATATGTATCATAACACTGCTGCCAGTACTACCCTTACTTACTCTAGGGTCGACAAATGCGATATGTTCACAGCCCATCGAATGGCCGATGTCAGACTGCGATTGGAGCGATTCGCACGATTCACATTTGACCGAATCGCTCCAATCGCAGAGTGTGACATCGGCCAATTACGGAGAATCAA